AACAAAGACGAGACCGAGAGACGGAGGTGGACATGTTGAATAAGAGCAACTATATCGCTATAGCGAGTGACATTCAACCAGTTATACATGTACAATGTACAGTTCTCAGGCCAATATACATGTAAATACAGTGTACATCTATCAATTGAGCACCTCACTTCAACAAAATGACAATCCTGATTATCAGGAAGTTTGTACATTCATCAATAGCCATTGTACAAAATCATTGATCAGACTTGTTTTTAAGAGGAAATAGAAAAGCTCTTCTGAAGTTAAAACAATTAAATCAAACAATGATTACGTTAAAACTTAATTTGCAGGAAATGCCATGCTCCTTTAAAGAACCATTTATTAATTGTGCAAGGATTTAATTCTAAGTTAAAGGAATTACAAAACACAAAAAAATGGCAAGATATAAGATATAATCAAGACACTGTTTTTTTTTTTAACATACTGAGCATGTTGATAAAGATCTACTAGAGATGAAATGAGTCTTAACTGAACTGAACTACAAAACTTGGCAACACATACATATACTCTTCGCACAGCTTGACCTGTCATGCTCTGTGTACTTCTATGAATGAAGGGCTATATGGAAATATTTTCAATTTCAAGTGAACTGAAGCAACTACCGGTACAGCACTTGCAGCACTGAGGCATGAGCTATGGGTTGAACACTGCAGTGAGTTCAGATCTACTGAAGATAGCCTACAGATATGTTCCACATGGATTAACCCATAACCTCCTGACCATACAAACACTCCTCAGGCATGCACTACTAACAACAGGTTACTGTAAAACATGACAGTTCTGCTGGCATGAAACTTTTGCAAATTTCGCGAGGATTCACAAAAGTTACATGCCGCCAACGTTTTGTTTTTGTTTTTAAATGCATCAAATGACAGTACAATACAGTATAATAATAATAATAATTATATCTCACATTTATAATGCGCCTAATACTTTGTTTCTAGTCGCAGCACATATTATTACCCCGGTCATTAGATTCAGGCTTATCCGCAACACATTGTGTCACAATGTATGCACATTTTCCACTCCCTGGGGAGTAATACTGTACAAGTGAATTGACTCAAATCCGTGCATGTATGGTACATCAATGTACATGTATGTACAGAGCTAGTGTTCAATCACATCCAAATTTAATGAAGTGTGTTACAAGGGCACCAAATGAATGTAGATTAATGTCTTGCCAAATGATTGGATGAGATGATTTAACAAGTAATTGCTGGTCACATATATAAAAAACCTCAGACGAAATGAAAGTTGAATTTTATGATACCTGATTTAAAGGGCAATGGGAATATACAGCAACAAATAGAGGTGAATACATCATCAGGAAATTACAGAGAGTAAATTGGTTTGTTTGAGAGGCTCTACTAAATTACACTATAATCACATATGTGACACTAGGTCATATTACTCAAATTAATGGTCTTGCAGTTGTATATTTTCACATAATGATTTTGGATTTGGCATACAAAAGCAAGAGCAAGCAAACTTTCAGTAGCTTGCACAGCAATTTGTTTTCCACATGAAAGCAGATAAGCTTTAAAAATAAAAATAAATCCTTTTCCTTTAAGCGTAAAGACTTCTCTTTAAATAAGCAATCTAAAACTGCAATATAACCTTGATTGGCCAGACAGGGCATGTTTGTATGCATGGAGAACACATTACCAATCTGTTTAATATGTCTGCAATAGTTCTTACATGAACGCTTGTGCAATGGACCATTTGCTTGATGTATTCATGGTGTTTCTGCTCTAAATGTGCTTATGATGGCTCCTCTCCTACTAAACTGCCTCTTTTTTTATTCGGTTAAAAGTTGCTTGATTTCATTTCATTTTCATTTCATTTCTTTATTGTCCATATAGGATAATTGTTTATATGCACATGAACAATCTTCAACATATGAACATAGGAACAACATAATTGACATTCATAGGGCCCTGTATTAGTATACATTTGATATGCTACCATTACCCAATCTATTCTCTTAAGAAATGCATAATTCTTCTCTGTTTCAATCTTTATTGTTGCTTGTATATTCCTGTTCGTTCTCGGGCTATACATGTACTTTGAAAAAGACTACTTTAATAGTCTAGATGCATGTTTTACAATGTGACTTTAGGTTTCTTAACTTTTACAGAGTAAATAAGCATGAATCACAGTCAAAGATTATGCTTTTTGATAAAAAGTTCTTCATCATGGATACTTTTTCTTTTCTGCAGGGTAATAAAAAGAAAGTTTAGCATTATATTGTATATTAATGTTCAGAATGCAGGGTTCATATAAACATGTTGCTAGGTTTAGCAAACTTTCATCCAAACTTTAAAGCAATCAAACAAAATGTGTTTTATACAGTAGGCTTGCGGGTGCACCATGTGAGAGAGAGAGAGGGAGGATTGAGGGGTCCTGAAAAGGACTGTTGGTATAGTCCTGAGGTATACTCCTGAATACTCCCGCCACTCATCCTCTCCAAGCGCTATAGTTCTCCTTAGAAGTATAAGCTAAGAAAGATAACCAAGAGTCTTTTTCAAGACTAGATACCAACAGTTCTTTTCAGGACTACACACCCTCAAGAAAGATTACACAGAGTCCTTTTCAGGACCCCTCAATCCTCCCTCTCTCTCTCTCTCACATGGTGCACCCGCAACCCTACTGTATATCTACATCACCATGAAAGCCGATACTTACAAGCAGCATCTAAAATGTGTTTTGATTTAAAAACAAAACAAAAACGGTCTGCAGTTGAAATGTCAATGCACTATTAGAGTCTTTCCTTATGTAAGCTCAACATTAATCAAATACACTTGCCCCTACACCCAAGAGAAACTTGTGGAAAAGGAGGGAGGGACTTAGTAGGAGACCAGCCTGTAGGTCCCGTGACCAATCTCTGGGAACAAAGGTTTGAAAGTGTTTTTGTGTTCCCTGATGAATACCGAACAATTTTGACTTGGGCTGCCCCCTTGAAAATCCCGGGCATTTATGTGAGGGGTCAACAAAGGTCATACAGGGTAGAAATTCAAATATATTCAAATCGTGTCGATATGCATATCAAATTAATCGTCTGGTCATGCGGATTCTAAAAATGTATAGTTTGCTATACCTCCGACCTTAAATGAGGGCGCTATGGTAAAAAACGTTGAAAGGTCAACACACTTTTGACTGGTGGTCAAATTCACCAACACAGTTAAACTTATCAAATTGCATATCAAATTACTCGTCTGGTCATGAGGATTCCAAAAATGTATATATTTTTATACCTCCGACCTTAAATGAGGGCGTTATGGTCAAAAAGGTCAATGCACTTTAGACTGGTGGTCAAATTCACCAACACAGTTAACATTGTCCGATTCTAATGATTTTAGTGTCTAATAATATGTTTTCTGACGTATCAAATTCAACTAAGCAACGTTTAGATCAAAAGTGGTTGCCATAACCTTGAAATTCCCCCCAAACCCATGGATAAGAAGTTGTTAAATTTTTGTCAACGAAAAGGCAGCCATTTTGAATGTTCATGGTCAAGGTAAGCAATTTTACTTTTGAAAGTTGTATAGTTGAATCTGCCATGTCAGTAAACATATTATTAGACACTAAAATCATTAGAATCGGACAATGTTAACTGTGTTGGTGAATTTGACCACCAGTCTAAAGTGCATTAACCTTTTTGACCATAGCGCCCTCATTTAAGGTCGGAGGTATAAAAATATATACATTTTTGGAATCCTCATGACCAGACGAGTAATTTGATATGCAATTTGATAAGGTTAACTGTGTTGGTGAATTTGACCACCAGTCAAAAGTGTGTTGACCTTTCAACGTTTTTGACCACAGCGCCCTCATTTAAGGTCGGAGGTATAGCAAACTATACATTTTTAGAATCCTCATGACCAGACAAGTAATTTGATATGCATATCGACACGATTTGAATATATTTGAATTTCTACCCTGTATGACCTTTGTTGACCCCTCACAAGAATGCCCGGGATTTTCAAGGGGGCAGCCCAAGTCAAAATTGTTCGGTATTCATCAGGGAACACAAAAACACTTTCAAACCTTTGTTCCCAGAGATTGGTCACGGGACCTACAGGCTGGTCTCCTACTAACTATCAATTTCATTTCAGTAAACATCTCATTATATCATTAATTGATCAGAAACTATCTGTGGAAAAGCACTACAACAGGGACAAGTATATATTTTAATGATTGTAAACACAATATATCAAAACCCATCTCAACAATATCACTTCAAAATGTTGATGGTATAGTCAGGGGTCAAAAACATCAATTTAAAATGACCACTTAAACAGGTGACTTGTTATACATTTGATTAGCAGCTGGTGCATAATAAGACTATATACTGTTGTCTGGCCCTTCAGGATGCTTAACCATAAGGCCTGGTCCTACAATGTACACTGTAACAATCACAATTCACAGCACTACTTAAATTTGTTGGGATACAACAATATATCCATCAAAGTGTTTGAATATCAAGATTTGCCTGAATACAGTCTTCAAGTGTTTGGTACTTACATCAGGGCATATTAAGTAACAAATTCATGACAAAGTTATGGGGTTCACCCATGTACATGTAATACTGTGATCCATTCATCAAGATCACTGGATGTACCAAATGAAAGCAGAACTGTCCACATCCAGTACAATCAGGGGGGGGGGGGGGGTTCACAAAGATCCTAAGTTGAACTTATCTCTAAGTTAGACTTAACAATTATGGAAAGCCATGAGCATCTTTTTGTAAAAGTTATTTTAAAGGCATAAAATGTTGATTCAAATCTTCCGTATTTTTAATTATCAAGTAAATATTTCATGTTCTTAATGTGGAATTCATAACAGTCTAAAATACTTGAATTGTCGCTTTCGAATATATTTTATTTTGAGGCTACAAATGGCTCTCCATAATGTTTTAAGTCCCACTTGAAGTTAAGTTTGACTTAGGATCTTTGTGAAACACCCCCAGCCCTAATAAAGTTGTACTTATAGAAAAAAAGTTGTTGAACATCTTAGAAGTGAAAGTGAAAGTGTCTTGTACTTACATCAGTATCAGCCCCATGGTCAATTCCTGGGCACATGAAAGTGACAAATTCATGACAGCGCTTATGGACTACAAAACTGCACACTGTATCAAGAAAAAATGAAAGAGGGAGAGAAAACAGTTATTAAAATTGATGTTTTTATAGTCAATTGCTAACAGGTAATATGAGGGTGTTTCTCCAATGACTAGATATTTTGATGATGTACATGTATACAACTACGGTACTCTTTCTTGGAGTAATTCATCAATGCATGTATAACAAAAGCAGCTCAAAATACACAAATTGGTATCACCTATCTACAGATTTTTTCTTTCTTTTTTAAATTGAAATGTGTTTAAGAGTTTTGAAAAAAACAAATTTGGAAAAAAAATGGCATTTTGAAAATATCCCAATCTTTCATTATAGTGGCATATAAGTGGAAAAGCATTAGCATTTGTGGCAACCTAAACATTTATTCATCTTAAAGACAATGAAAACAAAATCACTTAATACTTTATGAACGATCAATAAAGACAACAAACAATCGATTCCATATAAACTGGAAACATGCATTTTTAGAGTTTGATACATAGATTTGTTTCTTAAAAAAACACAACATATTTATACAAGATACCAAGTAGAAACTGAAGCCACTTGGTTCAACAGACATTTAGCTTATTTCACATTTCACCTCTTTCTCCATACAGCTCAAGAGGGCCAGACAAAAATGAATTTTATGATGTCTGCCAACGGCAAGAAAAAGCATTACGACAAGGATTTATTTAAAATTGCATTCGATCAGCAGATGATATATTAAATAAAACAAAATAATTGTTTACCCCATACAGGGACAGAGAAGACATTTCTCAAACAAGCCCCCAAATAAAGTATCTGGCCCCTCGCTATTGCACGTTGCATGGGTGACACGGATGACTTCGTCATTCTCAATATCAAGTTGAACATTTCAATTTGGTTGGAAAATGTCAAAAAAATGATGTGCACCCCAGTATTATTTCAGCCTTGAAGCAAAAAGCCTTGCCCATGCCATGAAGCGCTGTATGGTATAAGGATGGCTTGTTCAGACTAGAAAAAATGTATACAACACTAGTATACAGAAACATCGTATAAAGAATCGTCGCATAGCAAAAGGGTGTGAACAAATTGGATAACATCACATAAAGAAACGCAAGAAGAAACGTACATGTGTATGAACAAATGTATGAAGAAACTATTTTTGAAGAGGCAAGTTACAGTTAAATGGTATAAGGGCCCCTCACAGTTATATGGTTCTGTATGATACAACTTTTAAATGAGAAAAGACTTTGTATAGCTATGTTATGTGGTTCTATTATGATGCGCAAACATGCATAAATATATCGTCTGCTTGGAGCCCGAAGTGTGTTAATTCATAACATTTTAATATACACAGTAAATGCCCTTCTAGCCCCAGAAAGAAGATATACACTGTACATGTACAATAACTTAATGTATGACTATTAGAAAAGAGAAATATATATGGATTTCATACAGCCATATGATGAATTTCAGCAGTGTGAAAGGGGGGTATGACAGTTGTACGTGAGGCTTAAAGCCTGCTGGCCAATTTGGAGAAATTAACGTGACTGTCTGGTCCTGGCTTGCGCTGGTTATTGGGCAAACTGGAATTGATGGGAGGCAATCATACCGGGATAATGGTCTTCGGTTTGGATGATATATCTATGGTAGATGGGAGTGATGCAAACTTGCGAGGGGGAAAGGAAGGAAGGAGGGCCGTTTGTCAGATTAGTCTGATAGGAAGGGATATACAGACAAGAGAAGAAAGTGATTAAGAGGGTCATGCAGAGAGAGAGAGAGAGAGAGAGAGAGAGAGAGAGAAAGAGAGAGAGAGAGAGAGGGAGAGAGAGAGAGAGAGAAAGAGAAGAAAGAGAGAAAGAGAAGAAAGTGATTAAGAGGGTCATGCAGAGAGAGAGAGAGAGAGGGAGGGAGGGAGAGAGAGAGAGAGAGAGAGAGAAAGAGAAGAAAGAGAGAAAGAGAAGAAAGTGATTAAGAGGGTCATGCAGAGAGAGAGAGAGAGAGAGAGAGAGAGAGAGAGAGAAGAAAGAGAGAAAGAGAAAAATGGCAGTTTGTACTGGGCAAGCTTGGGTGATACAAGGACCAGAGGAAAACTAATGAAGAAGAGACAGGAGTGTGAGAGTGTGGGTGCGTGTGTGTGTGGGAGGGAGAGAGAAAGAGAAGAAAAAGAGGGTAAGAGAGAGAAAGAGAAGAAAAAAGAAGGGTAAGAGAGAGAGAGAGAGAGAGAGAGAGAGAGAAGAAAAAAGAGAGTGAGAGAGAGAAAGAGATATTTAAGATAAAGAGAGGGGATGAGAGAATAAAGTTATTGCTTCTTTGGGTAACATTGATAATTTAAAGCAAAATCTGAAAGGAATAGCTTGTACACAAAGTTGAACATCTACACATGCAACTCTAAGTTTACCTAAGCATCCAAGAAAAGCATGACGAATCACAATAGCTACATTACATTTATATATATAGGATTACAATACAAAACCATGTTAACATCACCTATTGAGAGTCAGAAGGGTGTTGACTAATAAATCATAATTCAATTCATAATATTTTTCTTTTTTCTTTTTTCTTTCTTTTCATTTTAGTATGTAAAAAAGTTATATGATACTGTATTATTTTGTTGTATATATGTAAATACAAAACAAACAAGTTTTACATTCATATGTAAAAACAAATTAACAGAAAAAAATCTTGCCAAAGAATGGAACTAGGCTCGACTAGCACTTGTGCTAACTTCTAGTTCCCATTAACAACTTCACTTAAATAAAGTAATATACATATTTACGTATATCTTTGGTACATTTAATAGTATGCAGATGTATGTCTAAAAATATTGTTTTAAAACCATTACTGTACTGTCATTATTGTGATGTGTTGTTGTTAATAAATTCAAATTCAAATGTATTTATTTGTTAAATGTCATTCAACATGGATATTTGATTTGCTCACATGTACAATAAAGGCTCAGACAAAATTTACAAAGAAGAGAAATACGATACAAAACATGGAAACATTTTGGTGATTGTACATGTATGCAAAATTACTACAACTGTATTAAGAGTCAATGCCCTATTGGCTCTCAACGGCGGTTTATAGATTCATACATAAAGATGGATGCCTGGGCAGCGTCTCACAAAACTGTCGTAAGTACAACTTTGCCAAAATCCCATTGAACACACATTTCAATAGGGATGTCGGTGAACTTGTACTTATGACAGTTTCATGAAAAGCTGCCCTGTAGTGTATCTATATAGCCTGTTGTGGTACCACGTTACACCACTAGCTTCTAATACAAATATGATCAGCCACTGAGACGTGTTGATTAGCTTCAATTAAGAGACAGTGCCAGCATGTGTGGTATGAATTACACTATGAGATGAAATATGAGATGAAATATGAGAATTGAAGAGCCAGTGGTTGTGGGGGATGTTCCATGTCCATGGATGTACCCACATGTCCTGTTGTTTCAAGGGGGCGTGTCATGCCTAGGCCCAGAGCCATCTATACACAGAGTTTGACCAACCCGGTTTGACTTGGTCACAATATGGCGACTATTGCTTTGTTGGGCAAGTACAAAACAAAAGAATATATGCCATGTTGTGACCAAACTCTCCTAATCAATGGCACTGCCTAGGCCTAGCCTGTAGGCACAGACTCTAAATTGACCTTAAAGATGAAGTTGAGTTCTGGTCATGCAATTGCATTGTGAAAGAAACAGTGTAGAACGGACCAGAAAAGGTTGATCATCTAGCATATAAGAATTTGTGTGTATTGCAAGGTTCTGGAATCATCAAAATGATAAGAAATTTGGCCAAGTCTTAGTTAAGTTACAAACACTGTACACAGAAAGATGTATATGGGACTACACGAACATGTGGCGTAAAAAGCCGCCCCCCCCCCCCAATTTTTACGATGTTACATGCATGTTTAGAATATGAAGGCATTTGAAGAGCCATGCTATTCAGGGAACATGTCTAATCTGATGTTCTTCCACACTTGCATAATAAGAATGAGTAACGCTCACAAATTATTTTTCACCTTTTCCCAGAACTCAACCTTCTCTTTAACACGATTCAGCAGAGTCTTGAGCTAAGCATAGCTCTGTCAGTCCCTGGCTGTGTTAGGAGCAGCTGCACTACAGGGCCTATGGACTTCAGTCTCTTTATAGTCTTCTATCTCAGACCCTATGTTCTGTATCATGGCTGACAAGTGTTTCTACTGCACACTAGAGCGCTGCTTCGTCTGTACATGTATGTGTAGTATCAATGTGCTTTTGATGCATACTGCTTTATTAATACACATGAATGTTTGAGCAGCGTGTTGCTCTCGCGATTCGGTGACTATAAATAATTGCTTGCCAACGGCATATATGCAATGCTAATAATGTGCATCCTAGATGATTCTGATATAAATTAGAAAAACAAGTAGGGCATGGATTTAAGTGGATTTTCTCTTGGGCTTAATATACAGGTTAAAGCACCAACTAAAAATAACAAAATATGATACATATTTCCATGGTGTTTGGGCTGAAAATAAATCTCAAATAAAATGCCCTCAATCTTATTTGCAGTCAGATGGTGCCAAGAATGTCGGTAAACAAGTGCAGGGTGACGCTGAACCAATTTTCGGTCAAGAATTGAGCTCTGGGGGACTCACCTGCCATAGTATGAAGCTCTGGTCTGATCAAACCATTATGTTTCAAGCTTCTTATGAAACATGATCCCAGGAAATGTACTTGTATATAGACTTTCAGAACCCCCTGAAGACATGTCTATGTCTATAATTTTAAAAACTAAGTTTTGGGGAACATTCTTTTATTTTCTATTGTCTGCTATAATAAAAGAGGCATCACTTTCTATAAACTGCTTCTTGCTCTATTTCCTCTCATTTTTCTTCCTGTCTCTTCATCCCTCTTTCTATTCTTCTCGTTCGCTCTCTCTCTCTCTCTCTCTTGCTCTCTCTTTCACTTTCTCTATATCACAAGTGTGCACAGTCGCTCTCTCTCTTTATCTCTTTGGTGCACGGCTCTCTCTCTCTC